CAGATGCGTCAAATACACAAGACCTAGTTTGGCCAAGGGAAAGTGCGCAACGAGCGCGACCCATGTATGGTCATTAAAGCAAAACAAAGTACTCCCTTAGTCTCGAATTATAGGGCATTTAAAAAAAAATTTATATCAAAATATTAGATACTTTGAGTATATTAATGTTTCATTAAATGCTCTAATTTTAATATTATTCTTTCTCTTTTTAAAATTAATTTCTATCACTTCTCTTTTTATTATATTAAATGATGAGTATTTTAAAAATTTTATATTTTTATTTTGAAAAGATAAAGTTATTAGATGTATTTAATGAGATTTATTATTATGTGAGATTTTGTCTAAAACTGTCTTATAATTTGAGACGGAAGGAGTATATTGTTAAAGATAGTAATGCAAGAGATGGATTGCTGAGATAATACTCTCTCTCTTTAGTATTATAAAGTACTTTTTTAAGTATTATATTAAAAAATATAAAACAGTTTAGATTTTCTTAAGATGTAATTAATAATTTTTTTAAAAAAACCCTTATAGTTAGGAGGTATAATTAATAAAAAAAATTAATTGAAACATTCTATTAAATAAAGATAAATATAAAAATACATGTAATTTTAATTTAAATATCATTAACCAACTTATTGAGGATTATAAATTAGTTAAAAATACCTTGTAATTCCAAATAAAGGAAGTAATAAAAAGTTTTATTTACATATCAAGATACTGGAATAAATTATATACTTGATATTATTTTTTTTTAAAATATATTTGATTTCTTTCCATCAGATGATTTACTAGCAATGAATTCGAGAGAATTGAATTGACATTGCTTGGGAAAATGGTTGATAAACCACTCTTGTAATTAATCAATCAAATAGTTTTATTTTTAAATATTACGCCCTCCGTCCCAAACTATAGGATATTTTTGAAGGAGTTTTACCGTCCCAAAATATAAGACACTTTGAGTAGATTAAGGTTTTATTAAATGTATCAATCTCAATTTTAACCTTTATTTCTCTTTCATTAATTTCTGTCCATTATAATATCTTTTTAGTATATTAAATGATGAGTATTTTTGATAGTTTATAATTTTGTTTTGAAAAGATAAGGTTATTAAGTATATTTAATGATATTTAATGATATGTGAAATTTTAATTAAAAATGTCTTATAATTTAGGATGCAGAGAGTATATACTTAACGTTGATAAAAAAATTATTATATACTTGCCGGTAAAGTCACATCTTTTTCGTCATAACTACTTTTCCATTTAGAGTATGATAGCACCTTAGGCCATGTTTGGTATGCAGGTTTTAATTTGGAGGGATTGAGATTGGGATTGGGATTGGGATTGAGATTGGGATTGGGATTGGGAATAAAGTTTTAAAATTATGTTTGGTATGTAGGAATATTTTAAAGGAATACCTTATTTCATTTTATTTTTTACTTAAATATAAATTATAAAAAGACAAAGATACCCTTAAAAATAATAAAAACAGAAAATAAAAACCAAACGTGATCATATTCATCCCTTTGTCTCGTCATTTCTTCTTCTCACCGATGAACTTCTGCGACGGTGAACTCGAGAGATCTCCGGCTTCCATTTTCGATCGTCGAGCTCCATATTGTGAAGGGTTTCGTTCGCGCCATTCTGATTTCTCTCAGCTCCATCAACTCATAAGCGCCTTTAAGCCGAAAATGAAGAGCCAAGGAGAGCGTGTCAGGTATGCTTTGAAGCCTTCGGACTCTGCCTTTGATTTACTTCGGACTCTGCCGTTGAGCGGGGAGATGAGCGAGGGGCCCACCTTGGAATCTGAGGTGTCGGTGAAGCTCAGGTACCAGGGCTTGAGGGAGTCGAAGTGATGGGAGACGGTGAAGGAGAAGCGAGAGGAGGAGCAGGAGCCAATCTTGGTCGTCGACTTGAGGGGTCGAATCGGAGGGAGGAGCAGGCTCTCGGGTAAGCCGCCATGTCGTTGAAGTCCAGCGATTCCTCAAAGTCTAAGGACGATACTACCATTGTCGCAGTCGATAACTCCACAAATGCCCGCACTCCCTGCAGCCAATCTTCATGCTCACTTGGTTGGTTGATGTATTTGCAGGTGAAACCTGGTCTTCCTTATTTGGATATCATAAGGTTGCTGAGGGATAATTCTCCTTTGCCAATTGCAGCTTATCAGGTTCTTTCTGGCTCATTCTATATCTGAATAAGAAATTTTTTGATGAAAAGATTGATCGGATATTTAATTAACTTGGACTAATGCTGTAGTAAGCTGCCTAAAGGTGACTAAAATCTTCTTTTGGTCTCACTATGGTGTGCTACTGATAGTCTTTCTTTTTTGTTTTCTTGAATGGGTTGGGATAAAATGCCTGCTTGATACCTGAAAAGTGAAAACATATTTACGTTCTACTATTTATCTTGTGTGCATAGGTTTATTTATGTGAATTCATAATTTGCACTGCCTATGTTTCTAAGATTGTACTAAGTCGCTGAGTACAATAAGTAGGTCAGAATCAATGTGATTTGATGGATATTGTTGAGGTGGAATATGAGAGCACAGTTTTAAACGCAGAGTCTCAACGCTGCCATTTATCTTTCGCTGCCAATTAATTTCTGTAGTCTCGTGAAACTAAGTAAAAGGATTGAGGGGGAGCATTGTTTATTTATTTAAGAATGTAAAACTTGAAGCTGACTTTAGGATCGATTGAGAAGCACACAAGTGGTGATTGTACTATCTTCCAAGCCGTTAGACTTCCTTTTCTGATTTAGCATATTGCGTGAGGTGCAACTTTATATAGGCTTTTAGACATTTGTAATTATATATAGCTCAAAGTTGAGTATTGAAAGGGAAAAAAAACTCACTTATATTAAATATCTTTAGAAATTCAGCACTATTTATCAGGTAGTGCTGAATCTCTGGCCCTTTAATTGTGCTATGTGCTTATGGTTCCTTTTATAGTTCTTATATGGCGAGAAGGCTTAGTAGAGTAAGGAACAGAACATATATTGCCACTTTGGCTCCTCATTTTACTGTTCTCAAACTTTGATTTGGTTGGTTTGAATTCACAAGTTGTCCATCAATGCCAATGCTTGAAATTGAAGTGCCTCAAAGATGTTTGGTGAAATGTCTGACCCAAGAGATGTGATATATCATTACAGTCTTTTACTGCATATATACGAGGTACTTCGTAGTTAATGCCCCATAACCCTGTCATGCTTTCCCCTCTCTCTTCGCTGTTTCGTTTCTAATTATAATAATATATCAGCACCAATTAATTCCTTTTGCCTCTGTCTCTCCCTCTCCCTCTAGTCCATTTACAAGTATATAATCCTCTGTGGGTCTTTCTCTTCTTCTCTGCCCTTCATTTCTTCCATGTTTTTGAGCTTAAACTTGGTTCAATGAGATTGATATTTTTGGTGTGTCTTTTGGTCTTGCCTAGATCTTAGGTCCAACAACACAGTATCTGCAAGGAAGAAGACATTCCTTGTCTCTGATTTGATTGAGGGCAAAAAGAAGAGCTCAAGTGAGCATGAAGATGAAAATGTCAACAGGTGTGCAACTCCAAGAGGTGCCGTTTTAGCCATTCATCTTGTAGCGTAATGACTAGAGACTCATCCCTACTGGTTCAAATCCATTACACAACAGGTAGAATAATAGACAAAGACCCATCTTCCTTGTAGCGTAATGACTAGGATCCTGTGTTAGTGCTCTAAAGATTGTGTCCAGTATCAGTTGACTTCTTCAGAGATTTTTTGCTTCACTTCATTACTCATGCTTCAAACATGAAATATATTTTATCCTCATTTAAGATTGCATGATATAATTCAAGCATGTTTAGGGTGACAGAATTAGAACAAACTGGTACAAAAAATCTACAAAGAAGTCAATTGGGTCTGAGTCATATTCACTATATACTCAGAGACCAAAAGGGAATTTTAGTCGACCAAAGTGGACAGTACAGTATGATCTTCATATTTGTTTCAGGAAGTTGTATTACTTTGCTGTTATATATCAATGTAAATTCTGGAAGAAACTAGCGTGTATTACATTCTTCTTCTAGAGTTGAAAAGACCCCGTAAAAGAAAAATGTGATGGAATATATTTCATAAATATTCACAACAGTTTAAAATCACGATACTCCATATGGTTTAAAATCACAGGATTTTTCATAACAGGATTTCTGCAAATAAACATACAAGATGGAAGCTCGCATTCACTTATATGGTTTAAAATCACAGGAGACACTGAAGAAGAGAAAATATTAAGCAGACTTTTATGGAAAAGAGAAGCGAACTGTGGTTGGAAATGCAGGAAATAAGGAGTGAACCTTCAATTGCTCGGCGAGGCATTCTGTTATAGGAAATGAAGCCTTCAGCAGGTTCATCAACTATCCGTGTCATAGTCATCACAGCCGAAGATGAAGCATTCTCAGTGCATTTCCCTTTCTATTTCAAGAGGGGCACTTGGGGGCGAACAGAAACATCCAAAAAAATCCATCAAGAAGCAAGCTTGTGTTCTGTGGCTAAATTAAATGAGGTGTATGTATATATATAATATAGCATTTAGATTTATTTATGAAGTCTGTAGCTATATGGCTCCAATCTAGTGGTTATATCTCTGATTCTGTGGAATTTGCAAGTGTTATATCACAAGTTTTTGTAAATTTTGCAAGTGGTTATAACAGCCATGGATCTTTAAATGTAAGTCTGAACTTGAAGCTATAGTTTCTTTATTTTCCAAGTTTTATGCTGCATCAGTCTCTTCGTCCACCTCATAATTAACATTCAAAAATGAAAATTTCAGTATTGTTATAAAATAAAATCAAATTTTGCAATATTTTGATCAAAACTTCCCCCCTAATTGATAGAATTCCTGATCAAATTCTTTCATTTGATGGCATTTTCATATGGGCAAGGAACCAAGTTGCAACTTTATGATCAAATTAAGCTAGTGTATATATACTTGTATATATACTACTATTATATAAACTTCCAATAGATGCTCTATAAAACATGAAACAAAGGATGTCATTTATCATATCATAATTAATAAGGTCAAGGAAGCAAGATACTCTATATCTTACTTTGAAACAAAATATAGTCAATGGTGCTACTCATATATCCAAGCACCCAAGTAAGATATGCCATATCTTACACAAAAAATTAGACATCTAAACATGACATTACATATAAAGGATCCTCTTGCAACTTTACTAAGGATCACCAAAAAATCGAGATACACCAAAATATCAAGTGACACTAATACTAGCTTATGCTATTATTTCGCGAATCACATCAGCTTTATCCTCTTCAGGCATGGAATAAAAGCCAATTAGCATATTCTCATCACCAATAATCTTCACATATGCCTTGAGACGTTCTTGGTGGGAAAGTCCTTCAACCTTCTTCAACTCAACAAGGAGAGACGACCTCATGCCATCAATACGTTTCTCACGTTCAACTCTATCAAGGTGCATGCCAAAACGCTCAGATGACTCCTTCAACCCATCAGCTAGTGTTTGAACAATCATTTTCATGCCTTCAAGCATGGAAGGTTGAGCTTCAGTGCTGTTTCGCTTCCTCTTTTTCGCTCCGGAAGTTGCATCAGAAGGGGACAGCTCAGTTGGAGAGTTCTCTTGTGGTGAAGTATTGGCATGTGATCCATCCATTTGAGAATCAGTTGGAATGTGCTCAGTAGGAGTATCTTCTACGGGTGAAGTAAACCCATGTTGATCATGAAACTCTTCAACGATATCTTCATACGTTTGAGCATCCTTTCCATTTGCCCTATCCTTCCCAAAGATATTAGATAGCTCATCATAATGGGGGAAAGTCTTGTTTCTCCATTTAGCAGCTTTCTTGTTTACCTGCGACAGAAAAAAACAAATAAACTGCAGAAAGAAACAGCAGAAACTAACAGCCAAAAAACCAGAAAAAATAAATAAATAGCAGAAGTTGAAACAGCAAAAACTGACAGCAAAAAAAACTAGAAAGAACAAATAAGCAGCAGAAACTAACAGCCAAAAAACCAGAAAAAACAAATAAACAGCAGAAATTGAAACAGCAGAAACTGACAGCAAAAAAAACCAGAAAGAACAAATAAGCAGCAGAAAGAAACAGCAGAAACTAACAGCCAAAAAACCAGAAAAAACAAATAAACAGCAGAAATTGAAACAGCAAAACTGACAGCAAAAAAAACCAGAAAGAACAAATAAGCAGCAGAAAGAAACAGCAGAAACTAACAGCCAAAAAACCAGAAAAAATAAATAAACAGCAGAAAAAAGCAAAAAAAAACCAGAAAGAACAAATAAGCAGCAGAAAGAAACAGCAAAAACTAACAGCCAAAAAACCAGAAAAAACAAATAAACAGCAAAATTGAAACAGCAAAAACTGACAGCAAAAAAAACCAAAAAGAACAAATAAGCAGCAGAAAGAAACAGCAGAAACTAACAGCCAAAAAACCAAAAAAAACAAATAAACAGCAAAATTGAAACAGCAAAAACTGACAGCAAAAAAAACCAGAAAGAACAAATAAGCAGCAGAAAGAAACAGCAGAAACTAACAGCCAAAAAACCAGAAAAAAAAATAAACAGCAAAATTGAAACAGCAGAAACTGACAGCAAAAAAAACCAGAAGAACAAATAAGCAGCAGAAAGAAACAGCAGAAACTAACAGCCAAAAAACCAGAAAAAACAAATTTACCTTCACATATTCATCCCAAACAGTCTTGGGAGCTGTCACACATTTCTTTTCAGGGTCCCAACCAAAACCAGATAAATTAAGAAGGTCAGAAACCACACCATAGTTAATTTTTAACTTCTTAACTCTTGACTGAATATGGGGATGGGCTTTAATACCACTTCCAGGTATCAAACCATCAAGCATGTCCTTCAAAGTGTTTAAGACACGTGGCCTTAAACCATTGTCAGATACAAGTTCTCCCTTATCATGTAGCACCATCATGGATTGAATTAATAATTCATCCTCTTCGGGTGTCCACATGTGCTTGTCTGATTTTCCAGACCTACTTGACATGTTTGTTCAGCTAGAAGAAGAAAATGTTAGAACTTGAGAAGAGGTTAAATAACAATAAGACAATATGACAATATATTATTATTAAGGACATAACAATAATACATGTTCTATCATACCATACACCACACTCAAAGAAACAAAGAAAATTAACATATTCAAACAAACAATAATGTTTAAATGAAATAACTAATTCATCTAGATATCCTATTAGAAGAAAAAGTGGTGAACATTTCATTAGCAAGAGTATCCCTAAAGGTAGCCCATTCATCAGAAGCATCCATGTTTTGAATTGGGGTGTTTTCCATCCCGTCCATATCAACACCCATTTCTGGAACTTCATTTTCAAGTGGATCTACACCTTCTTGACGAATTAAGTTGTGTAGGAGGCAACAAGCAATTATAACTCGGTTATGTGTTCGAATGGGATAAAAAGATGCGCTTCTTAGTATAGCCCACCTTAATTTCAAAATACCAAAACACCGCTCAATTACATTTCGTGCAGAAGAGTGTCTCATATTAAAGCACTCTTGTGCACTTCTAGGATGTCGCCCTTCTCTCCATTCACTTAAGTGGTATCTTTGCCCTCTATACGGTGCAAGAAATCCCTTACAGTTGGTGTACCCAGCATCAACCAAGTAATAGTGACCTTGTGGAACCCTCAAGCCATTCCTTCTACTTATGGCATCACGAAGAACCCGTCCATCTGCTGCGGACCCTTCCCACCCAGGCAAAACATATATAAAGAAACCATCTTGTGAGCAAACACCCAACACATTTGTAGTTATCTCTCCTTTCCTATTCCGGTATCTTGCCTTGTCAAGAGAAGGAACTCTTAACTTGATGTGAGTTCCATCCAAGGCGCCTAAACAATTCTATAAAATAGAAAAGTAAAAAAAAGTTAATACAAATTGTTCACACAACTTTCAAAAATAATGATAAATACATAACATATATATTTACCTTAAACCACTTCCACCTTTCGTCGCTAGAGTCATCAGCCACTGGCTCTGGTTTCTTCAACAACATATCTCCAAGTCTCATCATACTAGTAAGTACTGAGTTGAAATGCCTACTAATAGTTTCTCCCGATCTACCAAAGTTATGTTGTATTACTCTATTCTTCACATGATGTGCTAGTATGTGTAAAAACATGGCAACTTGTTCATCTACAAGCATGTTCTTACTAGGTTTAAGACCACCCACATCCGTTAGCATAGAACACAACTTATCAAATGTTGATCTATGCATTCTAAGTAAGTTGTAACAGGCTACATCACTGCTAGACATCATTCTCTTTAGGTAAGATCTCTTAGCAATAAAATCCATTTTGTAAGGTATATGTCTGATTCTTCGTCTCCTTAGTATGATAGTCATACACATACAAATACAAAACGCATACACTGCCTCAGTCATGCTCATCCAGAAGAGAAACAAACGTAATAGTATTCTCTTTTCCTCAGATAGTGCCATAACTGTGTACCAATTATACAGATATATAAAAGATTAATATTTAACATATGTAATGGAATAAAAGTAATTAGTGGTTAACAATAAATCACAGTGATAACACTCTTCAAAAAAAATAATAGATGAATTGCTGTGCAATATAAAAGTATAAAATAGTATTAGTATAGCAAATGATCAAGGACCTGTTTGATTTATTTTATTCTGCAATTAGTTTTTCTTCCCAATTGTTTCTTAACTTTGTCTTAATATCAAAACAAAACAAAACAAAAAAACAAAGGTATGGTTTCTATTATAAAATAAAAAATTAGATAAGTGTTTCAGATTTAAATATTTAAAAAAATAAAAACATGTCTTAGAACAGTATCTTTATGTTATTTTATTTTATTTTTTTAAAGCACGTTATTTATATTTGAATTCAAAACTATCATCAGGTATGGTTAATTATTATTATAAACATAAATTGATTTTTCAACTTTAAAACTGTCTTCACATTAACATAATTATAATTATAGATTTTTTTTAAGTAGAAGAGGTGATGTGTGTGTCCAATAGGTCAAATAGATAATAAGTTATTAACAAATTGGTTAAAATATTGGAAAATTAAGCAGACAGATATTGTTTGATTGATTCAGAGCTGCTTCTTTTTTGTTGCTTTAAAATGCCGTTAAACAATATTTAATACAAAGCTAAACAATATTTGATGCTGCTAAAAATGATAAGTAATGAAGCTGTTGAAAATGATAACACTTTTATATTGCACAGCAATTCATCTATTACAATTACAAAGCTAAACAAGATTTGATGCTCTGAAAATTTAATCTCAGCTTCAAAAACTACAAAATAGAAAATAGTATCCTAAACTAGTAATACGAAGAGGAAAGGAAAAGACACTGAACCCACAGTTGAATTTATGCCTAAGTAAATGAAGAGAATGCCTATTGATTTCTTGACGTATAGACTAAAGAAAATGAGATTGAGGTTTCCTGAACCCACAGTAGGTATGTACGCAATATCTGCCTCTCATATACATTTTGTATTATTTCTTATGCAATCGGTTCTGTTTTCTTGACAGATGTAATAGGATTCTTGAAAGGGTTTGGCTCTTACAATTTCAAAAAATTTTAAAGATTATGCAGATAAAAACCTACAAACAATCATTTGTGAAGGAGAGGACGGAGCAACAGTACCTGAAGGAAAAGGAAAAGCCAAATACAAAGAAGATGGAAGAAGAATATCGACGAAGGGGGAGGACGGAGCAACAGTACCTAAAGGAAAAGGAAAAGCCAAATACAAAGAAGATGGAAGAAGAATATCGACGAAGGGGGAGGACGGAGCAACAGTACCTGAAGGAAAAGGAAAAGCCAAATACAAAGAAGATGGAAGAAGAATATCGACGAAGGGGGAGGACGGAGCAACAGTACCTGAAGGAAAAGGAAAAGCCAAATACAAAGAAGATGGAAGAAGAATATCGACGAAGGGGGAGGACGGAGCAACAGTACCTGAAGGCGCGATGAAGGAGATGGCAACAGGGCAGATCGATGGACGATGGATGAGTCTCTTGCGGCGCCGATGGAGATGCGTTCGACTTGAGGTTTGCAATGCTGATGACTTTTATCAGGGCAAAACTCAACAGGGGCACTATTGTCAAAAAATATTATAACCATGGATAATATTGTCATAAAATATTATAAACCCAGGTTTAATTTTTCAGTACCAGGTAGGAGATGGGTTTGTGTAATCCCACCTAAGTGGGTTTCAGCAAACCCAAATAAGAGCCAATGCTTTATACCAAACACATTAAATTGGGCCTTATTCAATGCCAATGCCAAACCCAACCCTTCAATGCTGCATACCAAACATGGCCTTAGTTCCAAAAACATAAGTTGTTACTGATTGCAAGAATAAAGTACTTTCTAACGACAAAATATCGGCAAAATAGCTTTTCAACATTAATAATAAAAGTGATAGAATAACACTAACAAACGACCAAAACAAAAAAGCAAAAAGAAATCTAAAGACACTATTATAAAAATTCTGCTCAAACGACACACCATTATTTACTAGCTTAACCTATACTTGACCCCTATTCTTGATAATATATTTTGGAGGACTCAATTAAACAACCATGAATTTTAACCAATCATTTTGCATACAAAATAATGACCTATAAACTAAAAATCAAAGTTAACATTTTGTTTATGATAAGGATAATATCGTATCATTTTTAAAAGTTAAAAAATAATATTATATAAAAAATGAATTTAGGATCCTAAATAATCCGAGACCTACAGTTCAAAGGAAAATTTATTATTTAACCCAATTACAAATTAATCAAAACTGCATATATAGTTTATCTGAAACAAATGCAACATCAATATCAGCACAATAAAATAAGGCTTTGAACTATATATAATAAAAGTAACTTCTGTATGATACAACAACATTAATGACAACAAATAAATTAAAAACACAAAGACACTATTACAACATTTGGATCTGACAACACATAATTATTTATTTTGGTACAAGAACTCAAAACAACGAATAATTAGAACCAATTAATGATCATATAGCATACAGAATAATGATCTATAAACTAGAAGTGAAAGGAACATTAGTGGCTGGCAACCACGAATTTCCTCCAATGAAGTTTGAGACAGTGAACTTTGAAGCTTCCGATGCACTAGAAATCACATGATATCCAGGCCATTTAACACGATTTGAAGTTGATGAACCTGAACCAGTGTTCATGTACTCTCCGTAATACAAAGTACTCAAGGCAAAGTTACCACTCCATTCCAACCAACCAGAAGGATCAATCAAACTATCAAGAAAAGTCTTCATGAAAACTGTTCTTGAATATTGCTGCCATGGCCTTCCAAGATAGGTTTTCACAGAGCTCTGAACTGGCGGTAAATCTGAGGCAGCTGTGACCTTACAATTGTGGATAGAAATTCCGGTGTTCTGGTTCGGATCGGTTCGACCTTGGGCGGTGATCGTGTTGATTTTGTTCGGAGGATTTCGAGCGAAGAGGTTGCAATTCTGGAAAACTACGGCGGCGTTTCCGAAGATGAAATCAACTGTGCCGTAAATGTCACATTCCCTATAAAACTGTCTCTGAGAGAACACATATAATGTGTCTTGGAATCCTTCAAAACTACATTTGTAGAATACTGATAAGTCTGAACCTGAACGTAAAGCCACAGCTTGGTGGTTTGATGCTCCAGCAGTGTTCCTAAATGTTATGTCTTGCGCAATAAAGGCATCCCCAACAACAGCTGTAATATTATTTCACAAACATATATAGCTTTGTCAGCCCTCAGTAGTGTATATTCTCATTGATCTTTTATGTTTTGAAGAACTTGAATCTGAAGGTCCTCTTGTTTAATTAAATTTAAAACTAATGTTATCTTAAAATATTTTGGAGATTTTATAAAAAGTGATTTATTGTGTACAGGTTTTTTTTATATAATTATCTGTTTATATCAAACTCGAGTATTGTTGAATTCAATTGGAGGAGTTCTCTTTCATGAAAAATATTGTAAAATTTCTGAGCAAGTGATTTTTTTTTTAAAGAAATTATATTTAACCAAAACGACGAGACAAAGGGATTGTTCTTTCTTACCAACAGTTGCAGAACGGAAGGTGGTTGTGCCTCCTCCAACACTATTGCTCCCAGTAATGATAGTCTTTCCAATACCATCTCCCACTAACATTATATTCTTCAATTTTATCTCAACTTGTTCGTTATATATACCTGCCTTCACGTATATCACATACCTCCCACTGTTGCTCTTCGGTGCAGCACCAATGGCGGCACTAACTGTCGTGAAATGTCCCGACCCGTCTTTCGCCACGATGACATTGGCCTGAGAAGATGGAGAAGAACTCTGCAATAACTTCCTGTCACCCGGCTTGACCCATGTCGGGAACCCATCTTTGTGACTTGGTTTGTCATCATATGGAACCTTGTTTAAAGCCAGAGTATTGCTCAGCAACTTGGTGACATTGTTGGACATTAAAGGCAACACATTGTCTTGAACCCCAAGTTCGTAAAACCCGTCTTTACAGGCCTCAAGATTTGTAAGAGCTGAGCTGAGCCATGTCTGTGTATCAGCTTGGGTGCACTGGGTTAGGGTCTAGGGTTTTGTTGAGTTTGTGGATGGTGTGCTCATACAACTCTAGGCAATCCGCCCATGCAGCCTTTTCCTTTGATTCCGACACCTTGGGCCAAGCGAAACAGCATTTTCGTGGCCAGCCAGAGCGCGGTCGTGGGCAAGCTGTAGAGAAAGCTTTAAGAAATCATCTTTGTTGTTGATAGGTTTGTGTTGGAGATTCGTGTGTTGATTCAAGAAGTGCTCACATGGCTGAGGATTAGGAGTTTGGCTGCACCATAATTTGACGTCATTGAAAGAAAAATCAGAAACCGAAGAGGAAAAAAAGAATTGATGAAGAAGTAGAAGTGATGATAATAAGAGTGAGTTGAAGACAGAGTTGCCATAATAACTCTCGAGTTATTGTTTCAGGTCTTGCGAATAGGCTTTTTTTTTGGGTTTGATAAATGTTTGGATAGAGTTTTTAGTGCCATTGGTAGCTTCTTTTTATAGAGGAATTTGGGGAGAGGTGACGGTTGTATTTGTTATGAGGAACATCACTTGTTCAAAGGGCGGCACGACTTTAATTTTTGGAATTGTCTAAGTTATTTTTGATTTTGCTTTTGCATTAATTTTATTTTAAACTAATTAATTATCCAAATCCGATTGTATTGAGTTCTTATAATATATATATATATATATATATATGAGATCGCATCAAATTTTACTTACCCTCGACTAAAAAAACTTAGGGGTATTAGATAAAAAATAAGAGAGAAGATAAATCAATCACATTGAAAAACAGACAAAGACTTATAAGTACCACAAAATGCGGTAATATTTCCTACAGAATTATCCGACAATTTTTTTTTGTGAAGTTATGTTTTTTGACGCTAAGTGAAATGACAAAAAACATAGTTGTTACCTAAATTAAAGTTATTAATAACTGAGGTAAAATGTTCTAACAGGAAGCATGATTATTAGTTAGTTATGCAATAAAAGTATATTTCCTATATAAATTACAGTTTCAGCGTGGTAATTAAAAGATTTATTTTTAAGTATAACAACAATTGATCATACATTGTTGGTTATTGCCAACTGTATGTTAGGTCTTAACATCTATGCTGTCCATTATTTTATAAAATGTCAAAAAATAATTTCCAAAAAATTTATGACAAAATTTTTTAAGGATTTCAAAGTAATTATCCCATCTTGTGATACTAGTTTTTTATTATTATTCTTTCGAGGAGATATATCTGTTATTTTTCTGAGAAAAAAAGTCAGTAAAACATGGAAGTATATGGTAAAATAAGAAATAATTTTAATGAAACATTCATTCATGAATGTAGAGACTTTTTCTCAAGCATCAAAATTTATCCTAATTTCATAGCAATTTGCAAGAACAATACAAGATGGATGATTTGACAAGAATCATGCAGCCCAACGCAAAAGGTTTATGACTTAGAATTAGATTCTTCGCTTTTAAAAGTACAATCAATATCGACGTCTTGGAAAAATTTACAAGTAGGACAAGGGGCCCTTTTGCCTACAGGGTAATTTAATTAGCTTAAATGGAATGTATTCGTTTTCGTTTGCTGCCAAGTAGGTGATCTGCTTAATTGTTAGAGAGAACTTCTAATTACTTTTTTTTTTTTTGGTTTCCAAATACAACCACAACAGGAAATTAAAATTATAAAATTAAAACAAAATATAAAGAAGACAGAAAATTATAAAGAAAATTAAAGTTTAGACGATATAAAATTCAAAACAATATCAATGTTATGGTCTATAATTAAATTCAATCTTGCATTCAGAAACAAAGACCCCAAGAGTTATCTTGATGAATGGCTGCTATATCTTCTTTTCCTTCATATTCAGGTCCAAATTCTACAAGCACTTACACCAGATTTTCGGCAAAAGATTATTTTCAATAAATGCATAAATTAATGTAAGAATTATTGTTGACAAAAAATAATAAAGCAACTAAATTGATATAAAGCAACTATAAATGGTTAGATACTAGTACTAGATATACTTTTTTTTTTTTGCCAGAAAACTATGTATTTTATTGCAAGATTGTTAAACTCATGATAGGGATGTAAATTCGGATCATAAACGCATAAAGTTTACTTCTATAATAAATAACCTTTAAAAATGTATGATTAAATAATTAAATAATTTAAAAATAAATTATTGAAATAAATCCATCTACATTCATAAATTGTTATACTCAACATAGAAATCTCAAAATATAGCAACTTGTTTTTGGTATTTATTGTTTTCTTTTTTATTAATATTATTTTTATTTTTCATTGAACAGAGATCCTACTTCTTCTATGAACTAAGTTCTATGCAATATATACATATCTTGTTCAATGAGTTATGAGTAGATTGGCACGATTTTATAAGCTATAAATGTAAAAACAGTAAACTTTGATGGTCAACTCATGAATTTATCTAAGTTTTATCTAATTTAAGTTTGTAAATGAATTAATAAATTTTATAAATTAGAAATATAAAAATATAAAAGTTGAAGAGTCAACTGAGAGTTTGACACAACTTATCTAGTAGTTAAGATAAAATTAGAAACGTTTTTTACATATACTTATATTATATCTTTAAGAAATGAAAGATATTATTATAGTTTATGAATAGCTATAGCATGAGCTTTAAAGGGCTTGTTTGTTAAAATTAAAAAATAAATTATTTTTAGATTGTTTAGAGATTATGTAAAAAAAAGATTTATTT